AATCAAGGTCAACGTTAAATCAGGTCTTTGCTTGTCCCACCCATAACGTCTGATTTGCTCAATATAATTTAATGACATGTTATACACATTTGTACCCTCACTAGACAATGTGTCACTTAATCACTGTGGCTCAAAGGTCAAGGTCACAAATTAAGGAAACTTTTTTAACAAGGTATTTGCTTGTTTTGGCCATTGCTATATTTTGCTGTACTGCTATAGTTTGTTGATGGTCGTATAATGTACCATATACTGTACTTTTGTTTTTTGTTTTCTTTCTGGTCATTTACTGAGTCTTTCGACTTTCACAGTATAATAAACAATCTCTCTGTTACTGCTGTGTGCACATGCAGTTTGGTTAGGGTGCTATTATCTCTCTGTCAAACTAATGAACAATGCTGGACGTGTAGTGTAACAATCATTTCTGTTTCTGTTGGAACGGGACGTTGTCGGACAGCGTTGATTCTTCAATAAAAGATCTACAGCCTGGTGAGCTCTGTTTTATTGAAATCCTTCTCACTGGCAGAGGAATTCAGAACAGAAGTATAAATATGTTCAAGCTTTGTGCTTCTTGGTTCTTAAATCTAAATGAAACAAAGTTCGGGTGTCTGATGCATAAGAAGTGTTTTAACATTTTAAAAACAGCTGGAGTTTTGTACATCTAAATAATCGCGCCATTTGTCAGAGTTTGAAAGCCAATTCTGAAGAAATTGGAAAACTTCTATTTTATGATGTGCATTTATTGGTTGTTTGTGTCTTACACTGAATTTATTTCTGTATTGTGAAACTATATAATAAATGGGTTCCATAGTGGACTGTAAATATTTTGTCCATTTTACAGATACTTTTGCAGTGTGCCCTTCAGATTCATTTGTTTTGTAGATGTGTGTGTTACATAATGCACAACATGGAAAAATTAAACTCTCATTTCACATCGTCATTTTGATTCTTGTTCATTTGGGATTTTGTGCTTTTTGTCCATTTGTGTATTAATTTTGCGTACTCTGGATGTTTGCAGACGTGCATGTTCTTCTTCGATGCATTAAAGTAACCATCATGTCAGTTGGAATCCTTTGGCGTACAAAGACACGTGCACTTCCTTCCACGCTTCAGGGAGCATGTCACTTAGTCTGACCTGTGGAGTTTTGGCACCAGATGTCTCCAGCTGGTGCTAGAGGAGACATATGCTTCGTCCGTGTGTGTGTATGTGTGTGTGTGTGTGTGTGTGTGTGTGTGTGTGTGTGTGTGTGTGTACCTTGGCACTTTCAATAAGCACTGGTGTTTGTTTTTACCTTATTGCTTTTGCCTTTTCATTTCCAGTCTTGGTTGTTTTTCTTCACTCGTTTTCATTTTATTGTTGTCTTTTTGATTTTGTCATAACTCCCTGCTCTGTATTTGCAGGTATTATTATTATTATTTTTTGTAAATAAGCAGTGTCTCGCTGCATTTGTTTATCAAGACCAGTGCTATTGTTGTTTTAAGAAAATTATTTGCTCTAACTCAACAACTTTGCGCTTTTACTTTTACCTAAGGGAAGAATTAAGGAAAACATATTTATTTTATATGATTTCACATTTTTTAAAGTGGGTTATACAGAGTGCACATAAATACATAAAAAAATATTTAGGACATTTTCATAAAATTAATAGGAGTTACTTTAGTTATAGTAGAATGTTATAGTTTGTCTTCCTTTCAATCATTTATGGGGCCATTTATTCTTCAGCATGCACAAAGATATTCCTTTACTTTGTACTTCTACATTATTTAGTAGCTTGTTGTGATAGATGTTCACAATGATAAGGGATAGTAATGTGTGTGTGAGAGAAAGCTGGAACATGTAAACATGCAAGAGAGATTCCCCTTCGTGATCTGTGGGGATTCTTCTTCCATTGTTTATCTCTGTGCATGTCTCCCATGGCAGTAGATGATGAATCATAGACTTGCCTGATCATGTACCGGAACAACCTCTCTCTTTTTTTTTTTTCCAATAAGGACATCATCCACTATTCCATAATAAAAAAAATAATAAAGTGTGTATATCATCTCGTTGAGTGTAATTGTGTAGTAGTTTAGTACAATCATCTGCTGAGTGTGCCAGGCTGTGAACACTGTACTCCTAGTTTTAAAATGAAAAACAAAGAGTATGAACATTTACTACAAAAACTAGTTCAGCATTTTTAAATGCGTTTAATTCCACAAATTTATCCCAACTTTCTAACGCTTTTATTACAACTAATTTAGATGAAAATGCATTTATAAGGACCTCCTATAGGTTTTAGTTAATTCAACGTTGTGCTTATTATACTTCTAACACAGAAATACAATTCTTAAGAATTTTACAACTATTAGTACTGTTGCTACTACTAAAATGATTTAGCTCATATTACAATGAGCTAACTTTTGTTTTAACATCTCCCACATTGTCCATGTACGCTACAAAAAAATTTGCAAATACAACCACTAATACTTCACTTAACTGCTCACAAAATCAAAAGGATTAGTATTCCTTTAAAATAATGCATATACTAATAATAATAATCCCTTTATTGCCAAAGTTTTAAACTAAGATTTTTTTTTACAATAAAAAAATAATGATGTTCTAGCCCGGGTGTCTGCAACCTTTAGGATCAAAAGAGTCATTTCTGCCCTTTCATTCACTAAATTTAAACATGTCCAGAACCACAAAAATCTGCTACAATTGTCATTATCAACTGGTGGCCCATGGGCCACTTCATGTATGTTAGAAGGGGCTTTTCTGGCCAGCAGGCGTGAAATTATAAAACTAAAAACATCCAATGATTGTTAACGTTTATTAATTTTTGTACACGTCGAGACAAAAGAAAAGACTGGATTCCATCCATCCATCCATCCATCCATCCATCCATCCATCCATCCATCCATCCATCCATCCATCCTCTGTACTTGCTTCTTCCTTTTCAGATCGCAGGGGATCACTGGTGCCCATATCCAGGTTGCAAGTCCATCACAGAAGATTGGACTCTTATAAAGAAATAAAAACATATTATGTTGGCAGTTATTTATTTATTTTTTAACTAAAACAATGAACTGTGCAGGTTTATGCATTTAAAAAAAAATTGTGGTGTAACTGAGTATCTTACTTTGACGAAATAAAGCATAAAGTTAAAGTGAGTATAATTTACTCT